AAGAAATTATTAAGATTAATATAATTAAGAATAAGTATGTATTAGCACCGGATTTGAATCTACTATTTATAAAAGCTTCTAAAATACTATAGTTTTAGAAAAGTAATATTTCTATATTCTTAGAATAATATATAAATATATATAAAAATTATTATATTTCTAATAATACTAAAAAAATAAAAAAATATCTATTATATTTCTTCTATTTATAAGGATTAGATCAGGGCTATATTAAAGTATTATATTAATAATTTAGGAGATTATTAAGAAACTAAGTTTTTTAAGGCTTTACTAAAGGAATTCTAAGAATATAACTAAGAAATATTTAAAATTAGCTATAATTTTCTTAATTAGATTATTATATAAGTTTAAAATAAAGAAATCTTTTTCAAGTCTTATATTAATATATTTAATAGAGTATTAAAGAAGTTATTAAAGAGAAAATAAATAAATAAAATTACTTAGTATTAAGAATTTATAAAAGAATTATCTATTTTAGTAAAAGATTATATTTTTAAGAATATAAATTTTAAGCCTATAAATATTTCTATTTATAAATATAATAATATTCTATTAGTATAAAAAGAAAAAATACTATTTTAATATTACTAATAACCCAAATATATCTAGATTTAAATAAGAATACTTGAATATAATAGTTTATAATATAGTTCCCAAATTAGAAAACAATTATTTTTTATTAGTTCCTTTTATTATATTTCCTAAAGCTATTATAAATATAAATAAGAAAAGAATTTAACCTATAACTAATTATATAAAGCCTATTAAAAGTAGTAAACCCAAAAGAGATAATATTAACTAGCTAATAAAAAGTCTAGAAAAACTATTTATAATTACTATAACTTAAAAGAATTTATAAAAATAGCTTAATATAGCTATTATTATAATTCGGGAAAATATTCGTAGTCTATTTATATAATCTAATTAATTATAATAAGAATAATAGTATTAATAGCCTAGTAAATATAATTCGGGTTTTTAGAGAAAATATATAAAAAGTTATAATAGGAATTATAAAGAATACTATAATAGCTATAATAGTTAAGCTAAAATAAATAAAAAGTCTAGATAATTATATTCTAGAAGAAATTAATCTCAAATATAATTAGAGAATATTACTTAAGTTAATATAGCCTATAATATAGACCTAGAGCTAAGAGAACGAATTTGCTATAAATATTATAATAGAAATAAGAATAATAATATTAATTCAGAATATATTTATATTTTTTAGTTCTATTACTTACTAATAGAAAAGCTTATAAATCGTAAATATATTTACTAATTTAATAGAAAATAGTATAAAGGACTATTTAAGCCTAAATACGAAAATTTTTCTTTTTTTCTTATTAATAAATACTAGTAATTTAACTAAATTATTTCTTAAATCTAAGAAAGAGAATTTAATTATAACTTAAAAGTATAATTTAAGAATATTCAGAAAATAATAGGAAATATCTAATTTACTAGATAAGAAAAAAATAAAAGAACTAATTAACTGGGATTTATATATAAAAATAAATAAGTTATATTTATAAAATCTATATAATTATTTTATTTTAGAAAAAATTATATTAGAATTACTAATATTTCAAGTTCTGGAATTAATAAATAATATTAAAATCTAGCTATAAATAGTATTTCTATTAATATTATAATAGGTTTCTTATAAAAAAAAAAGAAAAAATAGAAATAGCTAAAGAGGTTTTCCGAAAATAAGCTAAAGTAAAAGAAAAGCTATTTTATATAAGAGGCTAAAAGAATACTATTTCAAGAAATAATAAATAAGAAAATAGCCTAATTAAAAATATAAATATTAATATTTCCGGAAATAAATAAAATAAATTAGAAACCTAGTATACTTTTAATTATAATAAATATAAAATTCCTAAAATTAATAATATTCTAATAAGGCTATTAAAAAAAGTAATTATTTCATTTCTAAAAACTTAAAAAAGAATAAGAATATTTATTAATACTTTAAAAATACTAAATCTAGCTATTATATTTTAGAACTAATAAATTAAGAATAATATTCCCTATTTTATTATTCTATAAATAGGAAATACTATTATATTAAATATAGTTAGATATATTAGGAAATCTATAGAGCTAGTAGCTATAGCTTATATAATAAATAGAATATTTAAGGAATTAGAAAGACTAGTTCAAATACCTAATACTAATAGAATTATTTGATTTAAAGATAATAGTATTAATATTTGAATATTATTAGCTTATAAATATATTATATGATTTTTATATTTCTGATTTATATTTTAAGAATTTTAAAAAAGTATTAAATATAAAGAAATAATTAATACTAGAGCTAAAATTAATATTTTTTCTAAAAAGATCTTTAAAAAATACTAGTAAAATAATATATAATACTATAAATTATTAAATATTTATTATTATTAGAGCTAAATTTAGATTTATAAAAATAATAAAGCTTAGAACTAAAATTATAAATAGAATAAAATATATAAATGCGTTTTTTCTAGTTAAAAAATCTTTAAAAATCTTATTTAGTTAATTGTTTTTAGTAAAAATAAAAATAAATATTATATATAGAAATAATAATTTATAAAATAAAAGATTTATTAATCCTAAAAATAACTAAAATACCTGTATTATTATAATAATTTTATTTTCAAAAATACCGGGAAATAAAAGAAAATAATAATTTAAGAATATTAAGTTTCTAGAATTAAGAAATTAAGTAATATAGAATAAAAAACTAAAAGTAAAAAGGAAAAATAAAACCTGGTATTATAACTAGTAATAATATTAAGAGAAATAGGAAAATACTAGAATTTCTTATTAATTTTTTTATTTTAGGTTTAGGAATTTAAGAAATTAATAAGATTTTTAGGAAAATTAAAATAAAAAAGGCTCTAATTAAAATATTATTAAAAATAGTTCCCGATTCAATAGAAAAGAAAGCAAAAAGAATATTAAGTAAAGATATTTCTAAAAAAGAAATAAAGTAGTATTTTCTAATAATTAAGAAATATATTTCCGAAATTATAAAATATAGAATCTAAGACTAGAAAGAATTCTGAAATATATAAGAGCTTAAAGAAAATATATTAGAATATTAAATAAAAAGGCACTTTCTATATTAAAATAGAAAGAAGCTAAATGAAAAGAGTAATAGAGAAAATAGCTATAACTTTTTTAAAAAAAAAACTATAATTTATTTCTAGTTATAAAAATATATAAAATAAAGAATAAAAGTTCCTTAAAAGCATTTTACTAATAGATTTAAGGTACTTGAAATATATTAGCCAAATAGGCCTTAAATTACTTCTAATAAATCTTATATACTAGTAGGCTTTGCTTTATTATAGCCTTCTAAATATTATAAGATTTGTTTCTAAAAGCATTTATAATAGAGTTAATTCTAGAAAAGTATCTATTATAAGTTCAAGATTGGATTTTTAAAGACTGCTTTTTAGAAGAATATAAAAGTTCTCTATTTCTTAAGGAACTTTCTATAATATAAATTAGATATTCGAACCTTAAAAAGTTTCTTTTAGTTCAAATATATCTTTAGAATTTTATATAGTAGCTTTTAATAAATAGTATTGAGATTATTTTTGAAGCTTATTTTATTAGAAAAGAAAATGAATTCTATTTCTATTTCAGGGAATTCTTTTATAGGAATTATTAAAAAAGATAGAGTGAACTTATAAACGAAGTTTCTATAAGATATAATAAACCGCAAGATATCCCGAAGGGTATCCTTATATTACTTTAATTATAGAATACATTAATTAATTATATTTACTAATTCTTGCTTTTATTAGAGCGCTTCGACTTTAGTATACAAGCCCCGCTCTATATCTTGGGTAGTAGTAATCTGGGCATTAATTGCAGTATCTTAATTATTACCGGAATTATTATTATTATTATTATTATTATTATTATTGACTCTCGGAGGCTTCTGAGAGGCTCCGTTAAATGTATTAGATGAGCCTTCGCTATTACCCGCGTCGGGGTTAATTAGATCGATTTCCTCTGCAGGAATAGCTTCGGCGAGGGGTTGTGCATTTCACAGATTTCGAGATATAATTGCTTATCGAACTACCTCCTTTAAGGGTAGAGAGATTAGCTTGTGAGGTGTTTGTTAGTAGGCAATAAGACAATAGAATAAATCAGTGAGTTGTGAAACTACAGTGTCAAATTCAGTACAGAACTAATCTCTGTCCCTCCTGTGAGGTCCAGGGAAGCCTCCTCTAAATAGGAGGCCCCAATAACGTATATACAATTAGTGATTTATAAGCCTAAAGCTTATAATGTAAACAGTGGTTGGTTGTGACATCGAAGGGCCGTCGATCTCCCTGATCGACACCCGCGACATCCGAGGTTCGTTACATGCCCTTTGGTCACGTGCGACACTGCACACATTACATTTTTGGTGAGGAAAGTTGATCCCTACCATGGAAAATACAAGGGTATTCTCGCTAATTGATAGTAGTAATCAGCTTAAGCAATAATAGGGCTCAGCTACTGGCTCGAAAGGGGGGATAATCGGAAAACCATCGCCCGTGTAGTGCGGGGCAAAAGAGGAAGGGTATACTTAACGTAATTGGAGGGGCAGGGCAGGACTTCCCAGTCATTCAATTCGTGTTTGTGTCGCAAACCCCTTTTTGCAATATATGTGATTCAAAGGATTGTATATGATTCTGGCAGGGACTTCTAGGCGACCTCGATTAAATTTACTTGATAGTGGCAAGTTCTTGCCTGTATCCTATTCTGATTTGGAGCAAGAAGAGAACCACAAGGATCGAAGGTAATACGTTCTTCTAATATGTTATCAAACATGGATTTCTCTCGCCATCACTACTTCATCTTATGATACAGTTGTCATCTGCGTCAAATATCGCGATCCATACATATCTATATATACTGTGAAACCCAAAATCGCTATGCACGACTCCCAAGATTTAAAGTTATCCAAAATTACCGAGTCCTCAGCTCCAATCTGGACTCTGCACAATCTTATATATCTCGTCCACGCTCAAACTCGCCGCAGGACGGGGCTCAGTTTTCGGGGATCCTTGTTCTGGCTGCGTCATTGCACGCGCTGGCTGCTTTGGAGCGAAGTCTTTCGTCTCGGTGGTATCCGTGTCCGTGTCCCCTGCAAAGTGGACCGAGCCCCTTGCCTTCTTCGGCGAAGGAGGCTTTGCGTGGAATTGCTTGGTTGGAGATTCTGACATCGTAGTCGGTAGGATGGATGTTCCTTTCGATGCCGGTGGTTCAGATATCGTGTTGGAAGAAGCTTGCTCTGGAGGGAGGGGGGGTGTTGAGACGGTTACGTCTTTGATTGTGGATGTGCTTGTTGTGGTGGTAGGACTGATATTTTCTGAAGGGATAGGCCAATCTGTGTGTGGTGGCGATGAAGTATAGCTCTTTTGGGGAGAGTTGCTGGCTTCGGGGGGTCGAGGAGTCCGCGGGATTGGAATTACTGTCTCGGATGGGGCAGCCAAGAGAGGTTGGGGAGCGGCCACTTTTGGCACCACTATGTTTTCTGGTTGCGATCTCGTTGCGCCCTTGCGAGAAGTTGATGTCTCCGGCTCCAGGAGAGGACCATCGCTCTCGTGATCCTCGGAGCGATTATCATCAGAATGCCTAACGTTATTCGAATTATGATACGTCGGCATCCTCGACCGCGGGATTCCTCTTCGTTGATGTTCTTTGAGCCTCTTTTCATCATATCTCTCGTACCTTCCCTCCCACCACTCCATCTCGTCTTCTCGGAGCTTTTCTATGCCTCCGGGAAAGAACTCGTCGAGTAAGGGTCGTGCCTGTCCGGGAAATGCGATTTCTAAGTCCATGAGTCCGTCCATGACTTTTCGAGTAATTATCTGGTCTACGACGATCAACGGCAGATTCCGCTTCGATGAATCACGGCTGACGGCAGCTACGGCAGCATTTTGGAACATGCCCAACGCACCAACGGCGAGGACGAACCAGGAGTGAGACTTGAGACCCGCAACGGTGATCAAAAGAGCAATCCAGAACACGGACTGGATTGTGCATAGAGTGCCAGTCATCAGGAAGCCAAGAGGAATGCCCCAAAGCATTCTGGCTATTCGGACCCTGACCCCACCCCCATGGAGCATTTCCTTGCCATCTTCATCGTACACTTGATTTGACAAGAAGTCAATCTTCTCCCAGATTCTGGTTGATCGTGGAGACTCTTGGACCGCAAGTTCTTCCAAGTCTAGGCAGTTCCCGCGGCCTAGAATGATCATGATATCTCTTGAGCCCTATACAAAACATCAGAACTTCGCTATGTAAGAACGACGTTTCGAGTAGCGAAAGAGGATGTGACTTACATTTCCAGACGAAATAGCAAAATTCTTCTTCGAATTCCTCCTCGACGGTAACTTCTCCGCCCTCCACTGCGGCAGCGCCCCCGCAGCCAGAGCCCCCAAAGTCCCGGCCCCAGTAATCATCATGACTCCCCATTCTCCCCAGACCCCAATCGGGATCGCCGCAATCCCAAACTGCAGCACCATCGTAATAATACTCCAAACCCTGACTCTCCCTGACCCAGACACCGACGTATCCGTCGTGCACTTTCCCGCCTCGAAAACCGAGATCCGCAGAGCATTGCCCTCGAGAGGATGTTCCTTCGTCATGAAGGTCTCGTTATCCCTGCCTATGCGGCCGATAACCCAGTGCTTGTTCTCTCTCACGTAACCACTGTCCAGATTGAAAATCTTGACTGGGTAATCTGGCTCAGGAAGGAGTCTCCCATCACCGAGGACATTGACGAGAGCAGTGAAGGAGTAGGCTACCCATCCGAAAGAGAAGCAGACGGGCGTGCAGAGGCCACCTGACGTTTCGGCGAGCGCTTTTTGCACGATGTCGCCGCCGATTATCATGAGGACCGAGAGGACATCACTGGGGTTTGTCCATTGGTCTCTGAGGAGGCTTCCTGTGCTGGTTGAGGCTGTTGCTGCTTCTGCTGCACGGGTGCTGAGGATGGTCGCGGGTGCTGAAAGCTCGGCTGGTTTGAGCGCGCGTGCAACATTTTGGAGGAGAGAAGGCGCGGGCATCGCGTCTTCCAGGCCGCTATGCCGGCCTCGTGAGAACTTCTCACTGTGTGTAAGGAATGTATAGACTCAATGACGCACTCCTTCTCCACCGGGGTCTGGTCGATTCATCGAGGCGAGAAGCGTGTCGCGACGTTGTTCACGCGATGAGATGAATTTGAGTCTGACTAGGTACAGCCTCAAGCCACCAAGAGCCACCAATGCATGGTGTTGCAGGGCTGTGAAAAAGTCGAGTCTGCCATTACAGGGTTGCTTGTGGCAGCGCTTTATTGGGTTACAGCTCAGCCACAGCGGCACGTCGCAGATCACCGAGTCCACCCACTTGCTCGGCTTGAACTGTGCGGTTCCCTCGGAAAGGGGGGAGAAAGACAGGAGAATATACTTCAAGACTCATTCGAGTGGTAGAGTGGTGGGGTGGGGATGAATTCTGAAAGCGTTCCTTTACTTATGATAAAGTTGGGAAGCAATTGTAAGTGAGGAAGGGGGGGGATCAAGTACTGCAGGGCCGGAATTATTGTCCATTTATTTTCCTCCCAACTATTTCCGAAATCCCAAGCAGAACCTTCCCAAGTTTTGTGTATTTTCCGGCCCCGGAGCGTACCAATTACAAATACATCAAGTCCGGTAAGGGCTGTGTCCGTTCTCCCTTTCGATCTAGTTTCCATCCCGTCACTGCCCAATTTTACAAATCCAATCCTCGCGAAGTCAAACACCCGACAAAAATATCAAGCCTCCCAAATCCAATTCCCCGTCTTCCCTCTCAGGCTGCTCTGCCATTTGCACTGCCAGCCGCAGCACTCCCATTCGCACTCTTCACTGGCTTTATCGGAACCGGAAGCCTCGATCGTGGAGAAGGAGAAGCCTCCCTCTCGGCGGGCGGCGAGGTTCCTAGGGTCTGAACCGAAAGTGATGGGCTGCTACCATGCGGATGATGCTGGCCAGTCGATGGCGGTTGAGTGTTATATGAGCTGCTACTCGCTGCTGATATGGAGCGAGATCGAGTACCCCTTGGTGTGGCAGCTTGAAGCCCATCTGGTGGCTGGGCCATGAGCACTTGGTGATGGGCTGGAATGGCTGTTTGAGCCGGGGCAGGAGGCTGGACTGGGTATTGTTGTTGAGGCACACTGGAATCCCCTTGAGAGGTCTGGACGGATATAACTTGCGAAGTCACTGAAGTAGAGCCATTGTTGGCAGTCGGCCTCGGTGATGTGACGGTGTACGTTGGTCTTGAGAAGGACGTCCTTCCAGGGCCACCAAGTCCATTTATCGTGAAGGGTACGGTTCTCTTGACTTCCGGTGCGTTCGCTTTAGGAAGTGTCTGCCCTACTTCCGCTGCAATCTGAACCGTTTCTGCCATCTTGTGCGTGACGAGTTTCTTGACCTCCTCCTCTATTGTTTCCGTTTCTGTTTTCCGTGGCGGTGGCCGTCCTCCCACGTACCACCTTTGATCGCTATCAAGTGCCTCTCCACAAATCATCTTATCTTCCTGTTCTGAATCCCCGGTAGCTATCTTCTCGTCATGGTCAATCGAGGCCGTAATGTAATCTCGCCATTTCGACAGTAGGTCTGTATTCGTCTCGCGCCATATCTTGACTCGCCAGTCGTAGGAGACATGATAAATGGTTGACCGGTGTTGCTTGTCGCTGAAACTCCGTTGGACAATGATTTCCTCGATTTCGACCAGGAGGGCAATTTCTGGGATCTCTTTGGGCTTCGGTCGACACAGAATGATAGCAAGCTGCTTATCATCCTTTTGGACCCCTATGGGCGGATTGCTTCTCAAGCCGACCAGCTCGACACCATACCACTCGAGAAGTGTGCTGTCGCTAGGGAAGTGGAAACTGTTCTCGTTATCCCCGAGAATCGCACGCCGACTTTGAGCATGGAGAACGAATCCTGGATATTGCACCAATAGGCCTTCCGGAACCAACTTTGCTGCTCCGACCATACTTGAGAGTGGATCCGGATACTCGAGTTCTTCGTTTGAGAGCCAAGTCTTGGGAGCCCAGCCGAATGAGGGGTCCTTGAGTTTTTCTCCGGGTAGGAAAATGATTCCTGGCGGGATAGACCCTGGACAGGTCTTGTCCAGGAGCTTCCAGAGATCTATCATCATGCCCTGGAGCTGATCATCCTCGACTTTTGCAGCATCTTTTATGAGCCCGGCGTCTTGGAATTTGGTATTCTGGTAATCTAAGTTCAGGAGTGTTGCCAGGGCCAAGGTTTCATGCTCCTGGTGGTTTGTAGTCTGGAGTTGCGTTAGCACCACGAACTGCAGATCATGAGTTGGACTTACCCTCCACCTGGCTGCTCGCCATACACTGGCCAGTATGTCAGTACCATTACCGGCCGGTAACTCATTGATTCGCGCCCTCCGATCATTTCCCAGCAGGTTGTGGAAGTAGTTTCGTGCGGCGCTCGGAATATTCGAGGTCAAAATGTCACTCGCCTTCGGGTACATTTCTTCCAGATCCTCCAGGTTCTTCAATCTCTTTTCTCTCGGCCCCCCTGGTGCAAAGGCAAAATATAAACGCCTGCTGAGGTAGGCTTCTTGCAAAGTCCAGAGTCGACGCATCCATCCACTTGCTAGAATTCGCATAGCAGTTCCCTCATACGAGTCCGCCGGCAACATTTGACCTAGCCCTTTGTCAATGACTACCGTGTATCTTGCATTGGTGTAAACTCCGTGTATTTGCCGCACAGCAATCCTTCTTTGTGCCTTGTATTGCTCATGGATAGGAACGGCCAGTGTATCAATCCAGAACAGTCGTTTTTCTCCAGATCGTGATTCTTCATGTGCTTCTTTGATTAAATCGTCAAAGAAGTCAAGTTGACATTTCCAAAGCTTGTTTGCTTCAGGGTTACCATACCCATCAGACCAGACGTGCGAAAGAGTCGCATATGGCATGTACGGTTTGTATCCTACAACACGGACTGCGCCGTCGTCCCTGTCATACTCCATGAGAGGGACGCGATGCTGGCTTATGAGCTCCACGACTTCTCCAATCTCGGGCCCCATTTGCCAACACAAGTTCTCATTGTTGGAGGCCAAAGGGTGTTTAGGATGGCGTCGACACATTGGCTGATGTTGAGTCACATATTTCCCATCAGTCCCCCGGACCTTGATACTACATTTTTCTTTGGTACAGTCTTTGTGGCCCTCGATGAGGTAGGATGTTACGGCATCCGTTTGTACATGTGATGCGTAGGCTGCCAGTAACGAAGTAGCGTGTGATCTCAATTGTAATTTGAGAATCTCGACCAGTTTCCGGCACCATCCATTCCGCTTCATCGTCTCCAGGACACATGAAGGCGTGCCCCAACCTTCCATAGCATCGCCATGCCACCCGTGGATATTGAATCCGACCTTTTCGACGATCTTGGATTTGGCATTCGTGAGAGTCTCTCCCAATACCATCAGCGACAACCCCAAATTCGGGTGCACGTGGCAGGGATGCCCTTCTGGTTTTATCTTCTTGCCGTCATCGGAGCAATATTCCGTGACGATGTGACGAGCTTTGTCCAGAGCAACTTGGGCGCGTATCATCCTTAGAGAACGGGTATGGGGTTTCTGTTGGGCCACATCATTCCTCCAGTCCTCGAGGTAGCCATTCAATCTCGAAGTATTGATGTACCCAGCTTCCGACACTAACGTCTCAGAGAGCGTTTTCGCTGGCTTACCAAGAATGGTGGAAAGAAGACCGAAGAAAAGCCAAGACTGCAAAAACTTGTTGAAGCTGATGTCGGTTTCCGTCTCGAATTCCAGGGTGTCGTTGGACAGCGTCCACCCGATCTTGTTCGGGAAGTTGTGAAAGTCATGCTTCTTTGAATTGAAGAGATTCCCGTAATACGCCGGCTTCCAAAGGTCTCCCAGTTGAAGGTTCTGAAGATGATCCATCCGTAAGGCAGGTCTCACACGCCGGAGAATTGAAATGGCGGCTCAAGAATCAAAACATGGGGATCTGAACTTCGCCGTGGACTTGAAACGCGGCCAAATCAGTCGCCGATGCGCTGATCATCAACTTGAGCATCTCTCCTTGAAGTATAGAGTGGTGTTTTCGTACCTCAGTGCCAATGGACGGTTCTTCTACCAAGAGGCTGACCCCATGTTTTCCAAGACTTGAGATAGATATTGCGACGATCCGTCCCGGAGCGCGACCCCATCTTTCCAGCTTTCCCTTTCCCCTGGCCCCTGCTTGAGGCTCTTTTTGGAAGACTCGAGAAGCTAAACATGTTCCAGACGATCGAGAATAATTGGAGTCGCTTGATTGGTTTTTAGGGCGGGCTATTTCAAAGAAGAAATGACTGTGGAGCGGAAGGACGGGGGCTGTGTTCCGTGATTTGTTGCTGGGGGGAGCAGCTGAACAATGGGGCATTGTTGTGCATCCGGTGGCGTTCAATTACGACTCAGTGGTGACACATCCTCACATGGGCGGCAAAGCCCGGGCAACCCCGCTGAAAGCCTAGCAACAGTGACACAGTGACACGCATCCACTGACACGGTCTCGGGGTGAGTGGGCGCAGTCAAGTCGCACACTTCACTGTGGCTGTTACCTTCGCCAACAACCTGAAATATGGCCCCAACTGCCTCGTGCGGGAAACTCCTTCTGTTCACCGTTTGAAACTGTATACGTAGTATTCTACACCGAGCATGAACGCTCTCAAGAGGGTGAGGAATATCAGCAGTGGCGACAAGACGACCGCTAATCTCCTCGAGGTGCCGGTTAGCACCTTCAAAGAACTGGACCCAGATGCCTTCATCAAGGCACCCATCGCTCTCGAGTAAGTTGTTCCAGTTGCCTAGAACAGCTTTATTACCGAGATCGCCATACTAATGATAGGAACAGTGTAATATTCGTCCACGGATTAGGAACCAAAGGCACCGCCGGCATTCGAACGCGACTCAAGACATGGCTCCGCAAAGTACGGATAGAAGTGGGCTGTCGGGTCTGGAGGTTTGGGTTTGACGGAAGAGAACTTCTCACTGAGGGGCGACAACGACTTATGGTCCTTGCTGGAAACCTGCTCAAAGATGTCCAACGTATACCGGGAACTCCAACTACACGGAGCAAATCAGAGGCTGGGAAACAGGACCGGAAACTTGTCTTCATAGGATACGATGCTGCAGGCTGGGTTATACAAGAAGCATTGGCATGGTACTCCAATACCTCGACACAAACCGCAAGACAGACGGCGTTGGTTATACTTTTGAATGCGCCGCATATCAAAGATGAAGCTGTATTGAGGGCGTACTTGGAAAGCTTTTCGAGATTGTACCCCGCACAAGACAAAGCCACGCTGCCGTATTCCGTGGTCAAAATCATCCAAGACAACTTTAAGCAACTCATCGAAAGCTCCTTTGGACCAGAGGAGGCACGTATTACCATCGGTGCGAAAGCCAACCCACCTCCAACACCAACAAACTATTTGAAGACGGAAGTCAATATACAGGATGACCCAGCAGTTCTTAGGCGAGAAACCACCGATACCCATCATACCACTGATTCCACTGGGACGAACAGCTCAGAGGGGACGAACAGCTCGGATTCTAGTAAAGATAGCAATGGCAGCGGCACAACGGCGATACTCAAGCCAATACCACTTTGGGAAATTAGGGCTGGGGACGAGACGGATCGAGAGGTTCGGCGCCTACTGCACACTTCGTTGACGCTCCCGGAAAAGTCGGACAACATGGTCTCGCCGAAATATCGAAGAGTTGGCACTGGGATATCCTCTGTATCGCCAAAATCACCAAACAAGCTCCCACAGGGTTCTTCACCACCAACACCACCGGACGAAATCGATGACCCAACCTTAAAAATGGTCCTTGCAAGAAAGCATACTGTGGTCTCAGATTCTCAGGCTGTTCAACATGTTCCGAACTTGCTGGAGGCGCCTGCGACACCCGCACCCTCCAACAGAACAATGTCGGGGGATACCCTCACTGAGGTTTATGTCGAATCCAATCGAGAGAGGAGCCACACGCCAACTGAGATGGAATTTGTGCCAGATATGGATCCCATTACTGAGACAGATGAAGAATCTGCCTCGCAAGAAGACTCACCAGAAACAAAACCTGCCGCTGAGGATGCCCTGACACCAAACCCAGCCGGACCGCCTCCCAACTATGGACAACTTCTGCGTCTCGCTGCTCTATACCAACAAAGCGGAGAGCTCCAGAAGTCCAAGGCGCTCTATGAGCGGCTGGTAAATGTTCCCGCGCTCAAAGACGGGTCTGATATTATTCGATTCCAGATTGCGATCACATGGTTATACGAAGGCCGTGTGAAGATGGCCCAGAAAGTATTCACCGAGCTGGAGCCAAAGGTGAAAGAATCGTATGCCAAACAGCCTCAGCGAACGTGGGAGGTCAGACGCTGGCTCGCAGTGTCTCTTGACATGCAAGGCCTTTACGAACAGGGCAAGAAGAAGCTGATCGCTATCAATGACGCGTTCAGCTCTCTTCAACAAGCCACAGATGTCGGCTTGCTAACCAAAAGTACATTAGCTCTGCTATTTGGGCATCTTGGAAAGTACGAGGAAGCACTGAAGCGTAGTAAAGAGGTGCTCCAGTTAGCGCTCGAGGCAGTTGAAAAGGCCAAAAAGGGAGGAAAGGGCGACACAGCTTCTGTGACAAGACAACGGGGAGCTCTTGGTTCAATTCAATACGATCGGGCCGAGGTCCTCACCTACGTCGGACGATACGTGGAAGCCGAGGAGATGAATACCCAAGCTTTGGAGAACATACAGAGGAACTTGGGCAGCAAGCACGTGTCAACGCTTAACTGCTGGAGTCTCAAAGCACGCCATCTCGCCGCTACCTCTCGGTTACCGGAAGCCGAAGAGCAGTGCCAAAAGACGTTGAAAGTTATGCGGAAGGAAATTGGCAAGGAACATCCTTCTACCTTGAAGACACTTGGTGTTCTGGTCTACGTCTACCGGCTCCAGGCTCGGCTGACAGAAGCGTTAGATACGGCCAAGTATCTCCTTGAAAAATGTAGGACCAGCGACGCATTTGGAGAGGACCATCCAGAGACGATCAGTTCAATGTGGCAGCTTGCTGAAGTGTACCTTGCACGGGGAGACTTCAAAAATGCATTGCATTACCAGGATCAAGCTGTGAAGTTGGCAGACAAAGTCCTCGGAAAGGTTCACCCTACGGTGGTCAGTTACAGAGCCTGCTTGGCACGCGTCTATTGCAATAGAGGAAACTGGGCACATACAGCAACCCTTTGTGTCGACATTCTCAAAGACTATGGTGTGATCATCTCTGAGGCGTTTCAGGATGGTCAGAAGCAGGAGAAATCCGAGCATTCGAGAGATGTGCTTATATCTAGCATCCAACAGGCCCTTGACAGAAAGAAGGCCAAGTCTGCCACCGAAGCTAGACAGCCGATCTATCAACAAGCACTCGACCGAGCTCGCCACATTTTCATTGTGGACAACGACGACTTCGAAACCCTTAATCTCTCAGTTGTCTCGACAATGCAATGTCTCGGTGTTACCGAGCGGGAACGCCTTCACGGAAACCTTGAAGTGGCAGAAGAAATACAAACCAAAGCCCACGAATACATCGAAAAGAAGCTAGGCAAAAACCACGCGGATACTCTGTCCTCGAAATGGGACTTAGCATTGACGAAGCTGAAAAGAAACCAAGACGGCGCCCTGAGCGAGCTCGAGCACGTCACTGCATCGCGAAGAAGAGTTTTAGGAGAAGACCACCCAGACACACTCGCGGCACGGCATCACCTCAGTGTGGCAAAGTTCAACATGTTCCGCAACCTGAGCGAGCTGGCTGAGCAAGCTGAAGTTCTTCGTTTGTGCATCCACCTCTTAGGAGAGGAACACCCAAGCACAAACTCGGCACGGATCGATCTGTCGAACGGATATCATCTGGTAGGGATGCTCACGGATGCAGAGCAGCTGCTGTTGAAAGCGCTCAAGGTCCAGATCAAGACGTTGCCTCATCCAGACCTCATTGGCGCAGCGAGAAAAACGTACGAGACTGCTTTGGACACCTTGGGGCTGAACAAACACAAATCTCATTCCGCCCACGAGCAAAACGAGAAGGATGAGCGCTCTGGAGTATCTCCAGTACACTGCCACGCCCAGGTTGTCTCAAGTCTCGCAGCACTGGCTCTAATTTACGTCGACATGGCCCAATCCGCCGACGAAGCAGCCTTAGCATCTGTGCAAAACTCGAGCCCGGAGAGCGAGAAAGCCCATCAGCTGCTCGTCTCAAAGTTCAACGAGAAAGCCATCGCTCTCCAGCGCGCTGTCATCGAGCAGCAACGACTTCTGGGCGGCCCATCATCCCGCGAAACACTAGAGAGCATCAACACGCTCGCCCTGATATATCAAGCGGCCGGTCTGACAGCCGAGGCGATCGAACAGTTCAAGCTTGTCCAGTCCCGAGCGGATGAGTCGTCGATTTTGCATTTCACGAGCCAGTCGAATCTCGGCACGTTGTTGTTTGCAGCCGGCGAGTTCGAAAAGGCGGAAGAGATACAGAGGATGGCATATGAGAAGCGCACGAAATTTGGAGAGGGGGTCGTGGGACCGAAGGAGTTTGTTAAAGCAGTGTTTAATCTAGCGTTGACGCGGAAGGAGTTAAAGAGGGGTTGGGAGGCGTTGGATCTGATGGAGCAGGCGCTGCGGTTGAGTAGGGATGCATTTGGGCATGGAGATCCAACGACGGAGAGGATTTTGGATACGTGGAGGGATTGGAGGGAAAGTTTGGCGAGTGAGGAAGGGAACAAGGCGCCGAAATACCACGATGCTTCTCGTAAAGACCCAACGGATTGGGACGAATTCTCTGCATGGAAATATGAGGATGATGGTGGTGAGGGTGAAGAGGAGGATGTTGACAGCTTCTTTAAAAAGATCTACAGGGATGCGGATCCGGATAGTAGGAGAGCAATGATGAAGAGCTACCAGGAGGCTAGAACTGGGAGCAGTCCCGGGAAAGGGAATGACGTTTAAATGTATTATAGATACGTGTGTGCTGAGCTATATACCCAGATGTGTAGGATGATACTGTTTCTAGGAAGAGATTGAGGGGGAGGGCAGAAGTTCGTACAGCGGGAGAGACCCCTCTGCCTCCGGTGACTCGGCGAAGAGTAGCGGCAACTTTATGTCCTTCGTACAGAAATGGGACATTGATCAACTCTTCTGCTTTGCATACGCCAAGGATACTCTCTTCAAGTGCTACTGTGGTTGCGACTTGTTATTCGCATTATTTTAACTTCGCTGACATTCTACCCGTTGTCTTCCTCCACACTTCACCGGGATACTATCAGCAGAGCCACTCACAACCCGACCATTTATCCTGAGTACTTTAAGCACCGGAGAAGCAACTATCGAGGTTAAGAGCAGGATCGTCGCAGAACCGTTTATCTTAGAACTCGCTAATGCCAGTTTTCTCAAAGGCTAACACGGATTTCCCCTGAACGGTAACTGTCGACGTGATTATATTAGCCGAATGAGTAGAAGGTAACTCCCTATTTGCCTCGTCTTAGTTTCGTTTCACATCCATTGCCTCATCCTGTGTTCGTGTGAATTTTCGAGTTCCGACCATATTTAGGGCAGGGATTTCACGGTGTGGGAGGCATTGCGACTGTACGACGCCACAATTGGGCCCTTGATCCCCTGCATGAGGCCAGGAGACCAAATTCAGGGCTTGATAGGTTCTCTGTCGCTAAGCTGAGCTTCCGGGTATTGCATGCAGCCACGCTTGAGGATGTTCAACGGACCTCGTGTTTTCCACGAGGGGTTCAACCTCGTTCTTGCATTTCAGTATCGACACATCAGCTTTTCTTCCTTTCTTCCATCAACGTTCCATCCACTCTCATCTCAGCTTTCTCAACGCTTCAAATTCATCTATCCAATCATTCTCTCATCTCAGGGTTTCTTGTACGGAGGTACAGCCCATAAGTATTCACATAGCAACCGAATCGACAGGGGTCTATGAAAATTTAAACCCTCATAACTCTTTCAAAACGCGACATAAAAGCGCCTAGTAAACTCGATTATTATCTCATACACGTATTCTATTATGCTACCTCATTTTTCTGTTTTTTATAGCATTTTGTAGTTGCGTTGTAAGGGTTTGAAGTTCGAACCCCTGCTAGCGCTATATGAATACTTATGGGCTGTACCTCCGTAGTAGTACGGTGGGTCTTGATAGCCCCGGTCGCATTAGCTGTAGAGTGGTTGTTCCAATGCTCATTTGCACCGAGTCAAGTGACGTGTGACTGGTTGAGGAGACGCTGTGGTGGTATTCGGATCCAATTGGCATTGTCTTTGGCCCGGCTGATCGTAAGCTAACCAATATAATCTGCGCCGAAACTGGACCTCTCCAAAGTTCACCTCCGTCTTTGGACCTGAGCAGTCGCTGCTCTAACCTGAGCCCTGAACCCTGAGCTCTGAGCATGCTGGTGAGTCAGCTGGATTATGCTCAGGGGGATCCTCTTCTAGCTCCCTGGAGAATCGGTTACAGTTTCCATGTTGTCTAAATATAAATCTTGCTAATGCCTGCTAGTCTGGAACATAGCCAGCTTTTCTAGCCTATTACGATGCGTGATAGTATCCGTTCTTGCTCCCCCATTACACTCGTTAAGGATCCTTGAAGGTTTATTCCGCCCGGCTAGTTCTTCGACTTTGCTGGTCGAGTTCGCTAAGTACGGAAAGCCGTAAGGATCAGAAGACCAAGCGATTTTCGAATCTGGTTTTCGACCTTCGATATCTGATTTGTGGTATGTGTACACCCCACTAAAAATCGCCCGTAACCAAAATACTATATTCTGCGGGCGTAATTACTATTATACTTATATATATAACTTATATAGAGATAGCCAAAATAAAGCTATTTGCAGTTACTAAATATACTAATATTTGTATTTGTCTTTACTATAATATCTTTAGTATTCCCTCTATCTCTACTCCTGTCTTCGCTCCTCCTTTTTAACTACTATTAATCTTCCTTTAACTTATATAGTCTATATAATAGATTCTATAGATTACGAGATATATCTTCTTTACTATTATTATTCTTACTATTATCTCTTATAATACTCGAAATATTTCTATTTCTATTATCCTTTTTATTCTTATTCTTATTCTCTTTTTTTCTCTTTTCTTTTCTCTTTATTACTCTCTTTGCTTTATTATTCTATTTCGAGGGTATTTATAGTTTTAAAGATTAAGGTTTTACGGAAACTAATTTAGGAAAAGCTAGATTATTTAGTACTATATTAAGGTAATATAAAATATATATTCTATTATTATTATTATTATATCTATAATTATAATAGGCTTAATTAAATTTGCTCTAAACTTATATATACTTCTATTATAGGCCTTTAAAGTTCTTTTTTATATAATTAATATAAAATATAAGTACTAAATAGCCTCAAGTTTAATTATATACTATTTCTAGATTTATTATAATTTTCGGATTATCTAAATTAGTTAGATTATTTCTAGAATAAAACTTTATATCTTGAATTTCTAATATTTTTTATAATTTATATTATTTTATTAGAGATATTAAAAAGCTCGAAATAGTATTATTTATTAATAGTAATAGGAAGAGACTATATGTTATGAGTATAAGATCTTGGGCCTGGAAGGTATAGTTAGACTGTTTCTATTTTGATAATTTAAAGCTAAAGAGAGAAGAGGATCTCGAAGGAGCCTCGGATCTAAATAATTACAAACTATATACGGGCCTATATACTAGCTTAAGCTCGGGATTACGTATAATAATCAGGTGACTATAGATGCCTCGCTCAGATACCAGATGCCTTTCTAGCTCTAGTCTAATCCCTACTAGTACTATATATTATAATAACTATAATATTACTCCCTCTCTCGAAATAAGCTCGTTTCCGAACTTCGAAAGTCCCTATTGAATTTCCAAGTTACAGGTTATATATTAAAGGCCAGGGCCTTTTATATATAACTTTAAAGGATTTCCGTCCGTATTATATAGTTCTGGTAGTATATTATTCTTAGTATAGTCTAACTAATAGGGGAGATTCTGGGGCGGTCCTGGCTATTCGGGATTCTTATTATAGAAGTTCTAAAGAGCTAGGATACTATTACTTAATAAGAAAACAGGATATTATTCCGGATCTGGATCCTATTCTTTCTACTAGACTCGGTATTTTAGCTTTCTATAAAGTAGTTTTATTACTTATATTTCTTAAACTTTATACTCTATTTCTCCGTCTTATAGTTCTAATAGCAGAGGCTCCGGATTTGCTTATCCGGGAAGAGAATTACCTAAATCTTTATATAGCTTCTCTATATAAAATACCGGATATATTCTTATTAATTCCGGAAGCTTGAGCCTAAAGAAATATCCTACTTATTCCAGGATTTCGTATAGTTCTTCTATTTAGTAAGCTAGCTTATGGCTTAAATAATTATTCTTCTAGTACTTAGTAGTAATTCATATCTTGTTTCCTATTTCGAAGTTTACTAGTTAGTAGTATTTATTAGTTTAAATAGTATAATATTCTTATATTTATATTATATTTTCTTATATCTTTTATTATAATTTATAGAGCCATATTACTAGGGCCTTTGCCTCTTATTTATTTAACTCTTTCTTTAAGGTACTTAATTATATTTGGGTTTTCTAGTCAAATAATATCTATAGTTTATAGCCTTTTTCTATAAGAAACGGGAATTAGCTTATAGTTTTATAGACTAGAGCTACCTATTAGTAGTTAATTATTACTATCTATTTATTCTAATTATCCTAATAGTAATTTATATAAGAATATAGCTATTAGTTAAAGTACTAGTTAATAATTTCTATCTGGCTATTAGTTTGGAAATAGTTAGTAATTAATAACTTGAGCTTTATACTAATATATTTATAGAATTCGATCTAGAAATCCGATACGAACTAGGGGCCTTAATTAGATACTATAGTCTCCGGGATACTAATTTAG